AAACAAAGAGCCAAGTCAGTTTCGAGGTAGAAGAGGGAAAAATACTTAAAGGCATTTAAACAAATAAAGACATATAAAGAAGCATAAAGTCACAAATAGCATGAAATGGTAAAAACCTTGATGAAATCCCCAGCAGAGTTGCCATGTTGTCGATGCCCCCTTTTTCTTGCGAAATCGGGATTATGAAATTTGGGAGGACAACTCGTTCCCTTTTGGGAATTGGGTTTGAATTGAAGTGAAGAGTCGCCACCTAATGATGAAAGTGCATGAGGACACTAAGAAGGGTTTTGTTTGGATAACCAGAGATTGGGTAAGGGCTTGAAATTATTTCAAGGGGAAGGTGTTAGGCACCCCTCAGAATCCACTAGTGTGGTTCTCGGCCAAGATATTGTTGTGACTTTAGGGTATATAGACAAATAAGGCTTCAAATAAGAGGGGATTTTCACATAAAGGTTGCAAATAGATGGAATGAAAAAGAAACGAAAGAAAAGGTGAATTTCTGAGAGAAAAGGAAAAGATAGTTTGAGAAATTTGAAAATAAGCAATGAAATAAACAAGTAAAAGAAAGGGGGGTGGGGGGTCCTAGGTTTTTAAATAATATGGATCACCCCACACAACACCCGGTAACCACTTATACACGTGGTGTTATCGTGTGGTCCTCATATCCATATCTACCATTTCCCACCCCGTTAAGGTATTAAATGAGGAATGATCTCATTTCACTTATTGCATGTTATTACCCGCCCCAATCCTATCAGTCTCGGAGGCATTTGGGATTACTAATCCTAAAGGGAAAAGGTATGAGGTTTTATAGTCTTAAAAGGAAAAAATTCTAGGGCGACAATCAAAATTCATAGAGCAAACATGGGAAATGCATTCAAACACATAAGGCTCAAACAGACCTCCTTAGATCAGAGAAAGCATATAATTTAGCATTTCTTACACGTACTGATTAGGGTCTGATTACACTTAAAAGTTAAAGCAGGATGATTTATCACATGTTTTCAGATAAGAAGTCCGAGTTAGGCATGCCCGCTGGTTGTAATTAATAAAGACTGTTGTAGTTTATAACTTTTACCCTAAGGCTTGCCTAAGTGATAGACGCAAACCTAATGAACTGATTACATGTTGATTTAAAGGGAAGTTGCTCGTTAAAAGCGAATTTTAGAAAAACAAGAGTTCTGCTATTGGTAACGCATAATTACTGCTAATTTAGACTCATAAGCGAGTGAGGCTATTCAGATTTAAATTAGAACCCCTATAGGCATGCTTTCTATGTGTTTGCCAACTTAAAACATTGTTATAGACATAGAAGAGTGTAGAAGTCCTATAACATGATATCTAGGTGTTGCATTGTTTTACTTAAGGCCTATAAACACGTTTGCCTAGTGAAAAACGGGTATGCAAGAATCAGAAAAGACCTATAGGCATATTCTCTACGTGCGTGTGTAGAAGCTATAGACATAATATGTACATGTAAGTGCAGAATCCCTATTGTCATAGTATCTAAATGAGAATGCAGAGTTTCTTATAGCCATCATAGCTAAATGAGATGCAGAAATCTTATAGGCATGATAAATACATTAAAATGCATGTCTTATAGGCATAGTAACTATATGAAAGTGCAGAATCTTATAGGCATGGTAACTATATGAAAAACACTGAAATTAGAGATTCCTATAGGCAAGTTATCTACCCTTTCATGCATAGTCACCCCTCCCTTTTCACTAAACATCCCCAAAAGTTTATTACAAAGTTATTAAAGCCCAGAATGGAATAAGAAAAGCAAAATTACATCAGAAATTAAGAGTACAACCAAGGGGAGCCTAATTCAGGCTCCTTGTCTGAAACATGAGATGAACCAACTCCAAAGATCCGATTTCAAATAGCCTTTCTCTCATTTGGGGTGTGTCAGAGTTCCCTAAGAGCCTTATGTGGACTCCGAGTAGTGCTCACACCCAAATACATTGCAGGATTGAGTCATAGTGCAGTGTGGAAGGGACAGCCCTCAAGTGTCCAAGTTCAGAGGGAACTCAAGGTCCCAAGGCAAGGCTTACAGGAGGGGGGCAGAACATAGAAGCTAAGAGTGAGTGTAAATGCAGAGAGGGAATTCTAAAAGGGGAAAAGGGAAGTGGCAAAGACAGGCTAGTGGGCATACCTAGCAATAGGAAATGCTGGCATACCCCACCAGCCTGTTAGAACACATTGTTTTGGGAGTTAGGATCCCCAAAGGGATCAAGTCCAAACATGAGCAATAAACTTGCATGTTGCCATTTGCTGAACTACAACTCAAAGCACATAGAGGGAAACAGGGGTGCAAGGATTCACAGCAGATACAGATGAAAGGAAATAACATGCTAGTTGACATTTAACTCCATATATACAGTAAAGTAGACATGGATGTAAAGGCTGTAAGTAAACACATTGGGATGATGCTGAAACCAAAACTAGAACATACCAGTCTCAAATAAACAAGCAAAAGAAAGCAGTATTCTTGTAAAGCCAAAGTGTAGACAAGAAGCAGGAATACTCCAAGTATGAGTTTTGTGAGATTGTTAGTGTGAAGTCTGAAGTGTCTGTGTGTCTGTGTGTCTAAAGTGCAAAAGGGTCATGCCCCTTTTATATTGTAGAAAGCAAGTAGAAATAGGTAAAAAAAAAATAGTTTGAAAATCAATTACACAATTTTTCCCTTTAATTAAGGGATTCTGATTTCAAACGGGTAAAACTAATTAAGGAAAGAGATTAATCAAACACTTTTCAAAGCAGTACAAGAGGGGTAAATACATAGAGGTTTATTCAAGGACAAGGTCTTGACAGTACACGGTTGTACAATTTAAGGAAAGGAAATAAATTGACAGCCAAGAAATCTTAAGTCAAAATTTTTGTATGAATGAACCAAGTCAGAAATATGGAAAGATTTAAACTTAAGGAAAATCAGTAACAATCAATTAGACTTATTAAAAGGAATTCTGAATCAATCACAAGTTGAAAACCCCTTTTTTGAAGAAAGATTCATCACATATAAAGGCATACAGACACGTTAAAACATGAAGAAATTTGTCATGCCATTGTAAGGCTAGTGAAAACTCCAAAGAAGTCAGAATTACATGAAAACAAGGGAGACAAAACTCAGTTTGTAGGCTCAGAGATTAGTCTGAAAGAGTCAAGGGTTCTCAAAGAGAACCCTAGTTCAATCACATGACCAAACTCGGCGGAACCCCTAAATTCTAGGGTTTCCACCTCGAGTCAAATACAGAGATGAGGAGGCAACAGGCTTAGAGATTTCTTTTCAGAATCTCATGAGAAGACAAGCAAATATAATAGAAAAATTCAAGGCAAACAGAGTGAAGGAACTAACTCAAAGCACAATGAGAGAACAACATGATAGTAGGAGAAATATGTTTAAGAAAAACCTTTCAGAAGAGACTTAAACAGGGTTCAGTTGAAGAGAAAACAGTAAACACAGTAGAAGATATAGTAGAACTTAACCAAGGTTCAGAAGAGAGAAATACTAAAACACCTAAGAACGTAGTAGAAAAAAAAATCTATTTTAAGAAGGTCTTTTTAGAAACTCAACATGATTCAGCGGAAGGCAAACAAAGAGACCTAAGAACTTAGCAAAAGAAATACAGTAGGAGAACGCAAGAACACTGGAAAAGTATAGCAAAAGAGCATATAGGAAACATAGTGAGATAAACATAGGAGCATGGTATAGAAACACAGTAGAAAAACAAAAAATATAGAAGCACAAAAGAACATGCATGGTAAAAGGAACCATATGAAAGCAGTAGCAAACAAATACACACAAGGAAAATGGGAAGAAAAGTCATAAGCATTTCAGAAAATCCTGAATCGAAAAGAAGTGATTTTAAAAGTAATTTTGAAAGAAAAGTTGGGGAAATCGTTTAAAAACCCAAGTAGAGCATAGAAACGTGATAGGTCTAAGAAAAATCAGAGGGAACCTCGAATAATCAGGTTTTCAGAAGAACCCTAGAATGAGAGAGGCTTGGAAAAGGTCCGATCTAAGTCGGATAAGTCAGAACCAGGCTCAAAACACTATTGTACGTCGGAGCAAGGCCGGAGATGGCCGTAGAACCTTGAATTTACAAAGATCTGAGTGAAGACCTTCGAGGTTAGACCTCGAATCTCCAAGTATCAAGTATATAAGAGCACAGAGAGGTGAGCGTGGGGTTCTCATGGCCTGGGAAGCCATGGATTCTGGTGAGTTTAAGGTAGAAGACGGTGAGAGGGGCTAGGGTTTCGAGAGAGTCTGAGAGAGGAATGGATTTCAGAGGCGGCGGTTTAAGGGGAAATGATTTTAGGGTTGGGTGTTTGTAAAATTAAAAAGGAAAGGAATGATTGTGGCCGTTGATCAAAATGATCAACGGCCTGGATCGAAAGGAGAGGTGGGACGGGTTAGATTAGCTGGGTCAGGGCCGGGTAATTTAGAAATTGGGCCGGTCCGTTTGGGGTCTGAAAATGGGGTTAATTGGGGGAATTGATTTGGGCTACAATTGAAAAAAAATGGGGCCAGACTTTAAATAGCCACTTTTCCCCTTTTTATTTTATAAAAATAGTAAAATGAATTCTGAAAATAAATTAATGTGCTAAATTGATTAACAATATATGAATATTAATTTAAAAATATTGGAACCAACTTCATAATTGTAAAATGCTATTAAATCTTAAAATAGGCTAAAATTGCAATTATATGCAATTTTGCTTTTAAAATACCAAATAAATTTGTAAAAATGTATAAAAATTACCTTAGCTATATTTTAGTATAAATATGAGGATAGATAAGTGAATCACCGAAAATGACAATTTTGGGAATAATTATTAGTTTTGTATTGTTAAAATAGGGCAATAAATGGGTTTTTTTTAAAATCTTTTAAAAATTAGGAAAAATACTAAAACATTTGGACACACACTTATATATGCATATATATACTATTTTGAAATTATTTTGCATATAAAAATATACAGGAAAAAATTGGGTATCAACATTTATCAAAGGCTTTCAGATCGGCAATGATTTGGCTAAATCTTGCAAACATTTCATTAATGGATTGTCCTTCTTTCATCTTGAATAGTTCATATTCATGAACCATGATGTTTATCCCTGTGTCCTTCACTTTGTTGGTTCCTTCATAAGTAATATCCGATTTGTCCCATATTTCTTTGGTGGTATCATACCTTGAAATTTTCTCATACTCTTTTCCACTAATAGCATTATAGAGCAAGTTTCGTGCCTTAGCATTAACTTGAACAACAACCATTTGCTCGTCTGTGTATTCATTTATATCTTTAGGATCAGCGGGTGGTTGAGTTGCTGCTGGCAGTGGATAGTTCCCTTTTTTTATGGCACGCCATACTTTGATATCATAGGATTTTGCATCAAATTCTATATGTACATTCCATTGGGAGAACATTTGTCCATTGAAGTATGGCGGCCTTACTTGCTATGTCCCTTCTTGAAAGAGTACTCCAATTGTTACTTGGTTTGACATGATCTTTTCTCACTAGCTGTTAAGCAAAAGATAAAAAGTGTGAGACGTGCTTTGATACCAATTGAAAGTACTAAAGATATGAAATGAATATAAGTAAAGCAGAAATAAAGTGCAGGAATTAATGACACTAGGATTTTTATACTGGTTCGGAATCAATGCGAATCCCACATCCAGTCCCCTTGGGTTGCAAGGGTACTCTGTTTCAGTATTGAAGTTCATTGATTATAAGAGAGTTGATGTACCTTTACACCAACATCTTAGTCACTATGTCGCTTCTCTCTTCTTGATACAATACCTTACCAGTGTTTATCTCTTTTTCTTCTCTCAATAATACACGATAGATCTAAAGAGAACTACAATGCTTGTTTGGAGTAGAACAAAAAGAGTGATAGAGGTTCGTTCAAAGTATATCTGCTTCACGACTGGTAAAAATGTATATTTATATTTTGTGAGGTCTTCTTGACTCCTAATTGATATGAATCTTGAGAGATTACAGACCTAAGGGAGTTGATCCTTGAAATGAATGGTAGAGTGATTCTTTCTAAGAATAAGGTGGAGCTTTCATTGATTTATCTTAACTTGTGGCCTTGATAAACTTTTCTTCTGCTAAGCAAATCTTTCGGTTATTAGATCAATCAAAGTTGGATCCCTTGATTCCAGGCTTTAATATTCTACCTTTGATAGTGGAATCTCCAGTGCATAGAGTCGCAAACTTGTTTTCCTTTAATTTGGGACCTTCCTATAATTTCCTTCGTTAATCTGCAATCAAATCCTTGATTGATTCTTCTTTCAAATTTCCGCTACTTCTTTCTTTTTCATCTCTAATCTTTGATATTTTTCCTTTCCTTTGCATATGTTGATAGATCTTTTCCTTAATTCTTTTACTTCTTCGTTTCTCGATTTCTTCCATACTTGAATGATAGAGCTTCTTGAGTCATTTGTTTTATCCCTCGTGATCATGCACCATAGTAATATGTAGGGGCAGATGCATGCTTATCGAAGCGTTGTCGTGCGACACCGCTTCGTCAATTTCTTTTACTTAATATATGTGTTAATACTGTGAGGAAAGTGATAAGCAGGAAAAAATGACATTATTTGACATAAATTGTCTCTTGGTGCATTAGTTACGTGCTTGATTTTCTTCCAAGGGGTCAAAGGTTCAAATCTCAACTAGCTTATTTTTTCTAAATATTTAAGAGAGCCTCTGTGGTTAAAAATTGTGATGAAGTAGAATTGAACTCACAGCCATTTCTACTTAAGACTCAACAAAACCAATAGACTAAGACTATCTGTTGTCTAAAAGTATGATAATAAAAGTTATTATTCCTGTTCTTTTATAAATTTTGAGACCACTTACAAAAATTTCTACATACATCCCTGGTAATATGTTATTTTTCATCAATTCAATTTATATTTAACATATAAGTGGGTTAAAGTTGATAACCATACAATAAGTGCCACATTTCTGAAATGGATAAGAAATTTGCCTCTTTGAAGAGAAAGACATTGCCAGGCGCCAGTTCCTTCTACTCTTCTTTTCTCTTTTAGAACCAAAAGAGTAAAAGGTGGTGTAGAGGAGATACTGTTTTACTTTTGGCAGGAACGCCTTTTTCTTCTTTAAGGTATACGTGGACAAATTGAAACTTGAACAAATGAAAGGCAATTGGACATGTAGCTGGATTTCATTTTAGTCAAAGACTCGACGTGGATCACAGGGGCACACATAATGGATATATCGAAGCTTTAAAGTATTAACTTTTTTATGATATATCATCCTCTCCAATTATTGGATTCTTTTCATTATAACAACTTGCGAAACAATAGCTAGACGAATTGTTCTGACCAATTTCATTGTGAAAAACTTGAAAAGTTGCAAAAGAAGATGTTGCGCTACTTACGTAATAGAAGTCTATTAAAACCTTTTTACTTTTTATTTTATACTTTGTACTCCAAGAAATTTGGCGAGGCATCTGATCTATCGACCCTAAACTATAAGTTTGGTTCGAGTCATAGAACTATTAGGTTTTAGTTTTAATGATGAAAAAATAATATATTTGCTTTTGGTATAGGGACTCAAGGGATCAAAGCGCCTAAAGAGAAATAATCACAGTTGAAGGGAGAAATCAATCAAAGATCGATTGAAGCATCTAAAAGGAAAAGAAGCAGATTGATTGAAGCATCTAAAAGGAAAAGAAGCACCGAGAATCCGGCGAGAAAATCAATAAGAAATGGACTGAAGAGTTAAAAAGGAAACGAAGTATTGAAGATGGAAAGACCCAGATATAAGGAGAAAATCTGGCGCTATCAAGGCTTGAAGATGGAAAGCTATCAACGTCCATATATCAAGGAAGGGTAGCGGAATTAACCTTATTTTTGGAAAGAATCAATCTCTTTCCAAGGATCAAATCTCTTGGGTTGGCATCGAATAGCACTAGTATGTATAACTAAACACCATCTAGTTAGAAAAAACTTTCATACAAAAATAAGGAAATCACAAGTATAACTCAAAAGCTTTAAACGATCACAACATTGTCAATAATAAAGAATCGTACAATTTTCACATCATGTTTCCATAGCCTTTAGTTTGGGGCATTTTACACTATTCATCACTTGTTCACAATACCACCGCTATCTTGAGCGGAGTCCGATCTCGGCCCGATCTGCTAAGCCGTCTCCCCGGGACGTTACCATTATTTCATTCTCACCTTCCAGTTTCAATCATCAATATATTACCACCATGTGTGTATAACATGGCGTCCGATCACGGCCCGATCGGCTAAGCCGTCTCCTCGAGACGTTACCATTTCTCTGTTAATAATCTCACTTTAATCTTTGGTTTTACATGTATCAACTCATAGACACTTAGGGCCACAATTTTCACATTATACATGGCGCTAGGCCACATTTCAGAACTCACATTCCACACCTCTTTCACTTTCAACATCAAGCTTTCACTTTAAGATAATGGGCACATACAAGAGCAATTCAAGTTGTAAGCATAGAGAGAGATTCACATGATTTGGCATAATAATCACAATTTAAACTTGACTTGAAATCTAGGCAATTTAGCATATAGTTCACATTCTTCACATATCACCAATTTATCAAGAACAACATATTGAACATCTTGGGACACACTTTTCACATATATTCTTGCAACACCAATTCCTTTGAAATAACAAATACTACGTCAATCAAATTCCGGACTTACAATTTTACATGGACACCATGGGAGGTCAATTTCTAAGAAGAGGGGGTTTTAGCCATACATGCCTTGTTTAAGATTTCCTTAAGTTACTACGACGTTCCGGAAATTTTAGCAATCCCAATCTACTTTGAGACATAACAAAATTGAACACAAATTAGGAAGGTATTCATAGTTTCAGCTCATTTGACCATTTTATCAAATACTAGTTGTGCATCTTGATTTTAAATCTCTTTTACAAGATTTCCTTTATCCCCCAACCCAATCTTTACTTATTTATGTTCAACAATCTTCCCACAAACCTAATTTATAAATGCATGTATACATAATACTATTACCCCCAAGAATCATACCTCAATAACCCATCTTATACCCCAAACTCGAAATTAAAATCTAATGTATAGAACCTTACCTCTTAGGAGACGAACTTGTGATTGGGTTATTTGATTCTTGAAGATTGATGCAAGATTGGAAGATTGAATGTTGGGTTCCTCCTTCTCTCTCTAAAATGCTCTCACCTCTCTCTAGAGTGCTCATGAAATCACCCCAAAATGAACCCCAAAGCCTATATATTAAAATGGGGTCGGGTCATGAAAATAGGAAGATTAACCCTCCGAATTCGGGTATGCGGTCGCATAATGGACCGCAGAATGGGTATGCTGGCCACAGACGGGTTGCAAAACCCGGTGCCCAAAAGTGGACTACACTGGTCCGATTTGCGACCAGATTTGCGATCGCAGATAAAAAATGCGACAGATTTGCGATAGCAGATTCGACACAGGATTGCATTTTTCCAGCCTTTGGTAATTTTATCATAACTTTGTGTAGAAATGTCCAAATGACGAACGGTTTGAAGTGTTAGAAACTAGACTCAAACGCCTTTCATATGATAGGTTTTTTATCACATAAAACCTTATATATATTTAGATATGCTCGTTCAAAGTGGGGACTTGTGCGAACTTATTTGGAATCTTAGCCTATTATGAAATTTTCCAATTTGACTTAGGCTTAGGCCTTTCCTTGGGCCCCAAATTACTTACCATAGGACTCGTACACTTATTTACCAAGTCCAATTGATTCCCAACATGTTAATAGCACACAAAATATTATAATTAGCCTAAGTGGCACCACAAAATCCTAAATTACTTAGCGAAATTTTTCGGGGCCTTACATTCTCCCCCCCTTAGGATCATTCGTCCTCGAATGAGCAGTAGAGTCCGCCCTAAACGCTTAACTTAATGTATCTCTTTTCTCACCTACCTCAAGTCCCTAAATTTTGACTAACTCCCAAATTTTTCAGAAATTTTGGCAGAGTCTACTTTGTAACTAGGACTATCCACCTGTCAGAGAACCACCAAAACCATCCTAACAATACATCCACAACTCGATAAAGCACCACAATATATATATCTGTAACACGAACCTCAGCATCACAAGCACTACATTATCATAATGACACCTGAACATGGACTGCATATTTTAGATCATAACACCTATAAGGTACCTTTCAAGTCAAAGCTTATCGATACACAATCAAGCAAAAATATTTTCCTTCCACGAAATTTTCGGCCTTCAAGGTGGCCTCCTCGACTCACAAGCTTTGCCATAACACATTCACGGAAGCAATCCCAACCCCTAAACATATCTAACAAGGATGAAAACTAGATACCTCGCATAAGCTAACTATCCATTAACATTCACCTTCAATAATTTACAC